TAAATATGCAATATCTATCATCCATTTCAATTAGAAAACGTTAAAAAATTTAAGACTATAAGTGTTACCATGATTTTATCTTTACATTATTGAAGAGCATTACAAGGAATGCTCTTCCTCGATATTATTAATTAATTTATTGGCACTATTGGAGATACATTTCTAGTTCTTTGAAAAAAATTGCTGCAAATCAAATTCAAAGCTATTGGTAATATTACTAAATAGTAGCTTAAATGTGCAACATCTATCATCGATTTTAATTAAAAATGTTTAAATTTAAGATTATAACTATCACCATATAGTAAAATTATGACTACGCTAGACTTTTTACTTTATGGCAATGTAACATTTTGTTAATTCCTAACCACTGCGGATATTACAGTCTATGACCAGGGCAATATGGTCAAGAAGCAGCCGTTGCCACAATTTTTTTACTAGTAACATTCAGTACCATGCGGTTTCTGAAGCATTTTTGAATGCAGCAGACACGAAAATTATAAAAAAAAGAGACCAGATAATTGTCATAGAATATTAAATTTTGTTACTTTATCTATAGAAAGAAGTTTCCAGTCAACTCTGGCAGAATAACCTATTTCGATAGCTAATAATGAAAGATAGCTTAATTTTAAAATTAAAACCGCGCCTATTATCGGTGTCCTACCTTATCATCATCTCATTCTCTACACTTCACAACGGGATTTTTCAATTTAATTCACGAAAATATCTTAAGAATAGGCTGAATAAGACCATAGAGCCGTAGACAGTATCATCTTATCATTAAAAGCGAATGCTTTATTTAGCCAAAAATTTCTATTCTTTTAAAGAAGGCCATACATATTTCATTAACTTGTTATAAATAAATTGTAAAATAGCTCTGTAAGGGAATAGTATCTACTGCTCGTGATCAATTTAAAAATTATTATTTATTTGTTAAATATTTTGTGTATTTTCTGACTACCACCAAACTAAATGATAATAATACAATATCCCATGACTACCTTGGCAAATGCTGTCCCTATAGCGATCTTTAAGACTATAGTCTAATAGATGATGAGATCGCAAATCGAATTAAAGCATATAGCATCATATTATAAGCATTGTTTTATCACTAATAATTATTGAGTATGCTAGCGATTGCTGCTACTTTGTTTAGCGCCGGAAATTTCCAATATTTTTAATAAATATGTAGTTGAAAAGCAAAGCCATTCGATCAGTTTAAATTTATAGAAATTAATTTATTGCTTCATGGCATTAATTATAATCACATAGTAAAAGGCTTACTACAAAACTCTGGAATACTTTCAGTCAATATACCTAAAAAACTTAAAAATAATTTCTAGCCGTTACTGCTGGTACAGGGAGGTGTTACAATAAGTCATCAAACTGTAAAGCATCTGAATATCAGCAAATATGCTATCTCTAGCAAAAATGATGAATTTATCATACAGTAATCTAATTCACCTAGATCGTCGATCATTATCAGGAATTACTTTACTATCACATTCATTTTAAAAGCAATAAATTGCTAACTATTAATTATTTGTATTTACTAATGTCTGGATTATCATACAAAGAAATATATTGTAGAATGAAGTCATGATTAGTAAATTTTTTATTATAACTTTAATTTAAAACGACTCTAAAAATCAAAGTTAATGCCTAGCATATACTGAAACAAAGTCAAAGTTAAGAATACGTAGGCGTTTACTAAATTTTCTTTGATATTTAAAGATGAAGTATACTCATAAATTTTAATTTCACTATACATTAAAATTGTCGATCTGATCCTGTAGAAGCTAACAGTGTGATTGTACTAGATATCACTGACAAAACACTATCTATGCATAATGAAAAATTAATGCTTAGGATGCAATTATTGTTCTAATTTGCAGATGATGAGCAATTAAATGAAAATTACGTGATAGTAACGGTATATATATACAGTCGTTTGGCAAAAAATAACAATTACCTCTATTTTATTTAGTTCCATAAAGATATGCGCTATTCATTAAAATATAGCTGCTTGCAACTGCTGCTTTTTGAAATTTTGAATCTCATTTATTTTAATATTTGTTATTGTACATTCCATTAAAGACTATGAAAAAATAGACCTGTTACATACTATAATGGGAGATGCAGTATTTATGGATGATGCAATTTTGCCGTAAACGTAACACGGAAGATACTACAGTATGGTTGTTTAGTTAAGCCTAATATACAAAAAACAGAGGATGGCATCAAAATGAGAATATATATAATGAGAAAGGAGCTGTAACAAATGATTTAATAATACCCTAGCTAGCTGAAGTAATTAATAATGATTTATTGTTATAGCATTATTAAAATTGAAAATATTAGTAACTCTAGACAATAAAGGATAACGTCGTAGCCTAAATGTAGCAAATAATAAAAGCAGCTATTTGCGTTTTTATCAATACTTACATCAAACTCGTTTCTATGAACAGGTACCTAGATTATTATCAAATTTAATTTTCTTAACTTAACATTACTTGCATTCTCTAAATTGAAGTGTACAATAATATTAAATTTTCAGCAATTAGGATCATATGAAAATCAGACTCCCATCTTATAAATAGTTATTTTGCGCTAATGGTCTCTCCACAGTCGTATAGAAATCATTAATGCGATTCTAAATTAATAGGAATAGATCATGTCGTATATTTTTAATATTAGGTTGTAACATGATTCTGAAGAAAAATAAGATTTTGCTCAATCGTATAGACGCGCATTAAAATAAAATGAATGTATTTAAGGATTTACTTTACTCTTATAATTATTATGCTTGGTTACCTTGAATAATAGTATAGATGGACCTGATTCATTTTTAAAATCTATTACATCTTGAAATGATTATGTATCAGTTAACGTTAGTTTCCGAAATGATAGCACTTATCTAACTTATTATTCATTTTATCATATCTAAATAGATCTCAGCTCTCCGTTTTATATGAAATATGATTGCAGTAGCAATATAATTAGTGTATTTTAAAAATGATCAATGACATACATTAGTGTCAGTAACAAGAGCTTGCAGTTTTGCAACTCCAAATAAAAACACCATTGAGCTCAAGAAATGTTACTAGAATAATTATTAATACCATTAGCTATCAATCAGTCGATTTGCGGAACTTTAATTTTAAATCTCTACGAAAAATCAATTTATTCCCTAGGACTTGATATATCAGCAATGATTCGTCGAACTATGTGGAGACACCCTTTTCTTTCCACTGAAAATCAACGACGCAGTTTATCTAATGTGAACTCATTTCAAGATTTATCTTGGCGAATGAGACGCAATTTAGCCCAAAACGAATCATCTAATACAACTAAGGGAGAGCCTGGAGACGATTATTGTGCTACCAACTATGTATGTAGTGCTCGAAATTCGTAATATGAACTGATAATTAATCGCTTAAAGTTTGCTATTAATTATTAGTATTTTCTTTTTTGATAATTATAATATCGTAATTTAAATTTATTAATATATAAAACCGAATAAAATCATCTCATTTACTACGTATTTATCATTGGTTGCTTTATTTCCTATCTATTAGCTATCGCTCGATGTCCTTTATTTCATTGCAGGGTTCGAACATTTCGACACTGCTCTAATGTGCCTTTCGGTGATTGCCACGATAGCATCCATTGTCCTCCTTTCCTCGTAAGATTGAGTTTATAATTAAATAACTAATGAATTAAGTGGCGCAGTATTTAATAAAGATCGAATTCTAGGCCCTCTTTGACAAAATATATATTTTTCAGATATAACATCGGCCTTACAATGACCATAGGGTAGCTTCAATTAGACTAATAGCTTGTTTTGTAAAGAAATTATAAAGTGCTTCTGTACCGTAAATTTATTCCCTTGTTTTTATTATCATCAATGTTGGCAACCAGTATATTGACAGTAATTGATGCTCTCTTCTCAATTAATATCCTGAGCCTTCATGATATTTTCCGCATACTTTCTCGATATGTTTCATGTAATTGTAGCTGCTAATTCTATTACGCGCTGTACATAATACATTGAACTATATATATATAATAAACATTAGCGTAGCTTTAGAAGATATTTCTTTACGATAATAAGCTTTTATTGATACTTTTTCGATATATTAATGGAAATAGTCAATTACATACGAGTGATTTTTGACAAATTGAGTACAACTTTGAAACCGCCATTATATGCAGTATAGTCACTATTTTACCTCTTTTAATGCAGCTGGTAGTTTAAGATAAATTTCTAAAATGCTGATATACCGTTTTGAAATACTAAAAATTTATTAAGTGGTCATAGTTACACAAATATTAGCCGCATCATTTTATTTTATTTCCTGACACTTCCAGTTCAAGACTAATCTTTAATTACATCGATAGGAATGTATACTGTAAATGTAGTAAGTAATTATAGACATATTTTGATAATGAATTTCTCTTCTATCGCAATAATCATTTACATGGACGATTGAATTTCTCTTGCAACTACCGAATTTGACGAAAAAAGATTAATCATGACAGATACAAGAATCATTCATATTAATTACTTGGTAGCACTAACATTTTATTTCTCATGGGCGATCATATTTCTTTGGAACTGGGTGCCTGAAACAGAAGTAAATGTTACCTTTGATTGTTTTCACAACATTGATATAACATATGCATATTTGCTTAAAATTAGTCCGATACGTAGTTTAGTTAGTGGTAATTGTACTTAGCAGGTATTAATCGTGATGTATAATAACTTACTTTATAATTCATATAGCGATGACATATCTAATATTAATTCTAGCTTTATTGATCAAATCGTTTTACTAACTTAGAATTTACTGCCTAAGAGTATGTCCAAGATGCATTATTAGATCTTTATTCTTTGTATGACATATAAATATTAGTGAAGCTAATCGTAATTTCATCCATCAACTTTAATGTTTTTTGAAACCTGAACTCTTATATTAGCATGTATTATTCGTATTTACTAAATGATATTACTCCACGTTGCTTTCCAGAATGTTGCATTTTGCGGATCAATCATCTTTATTGGTCATTACCTAGCTATTGCAGTCTTCATGTGGATGCTTCTTGAAGGAGTACAAATATTACTAACTTTTATAAGTGTCTTCAGTGCCAATTCTGATCAATGTGGCAAACGCTTGAGTATTATGATCGTTTTTGGTTGGGGTAAGGCTTGTTGACATCTATAAAATTATATTAATAGTCAACTAAAATATACGAAAACTGTGATAAAAGCAGGATTTACTAATTATTTTCATTTCTAAGATGAACTTGCTACAACATTAATTATTTATTAAAATCTAGTAATTGTTGAATCCTCTGACCTTTATATCTCGGGTCAATTCTATAGTAAAGTTTACTAGTGTCCGAGGGTATTTCAGTAGAGGTACAGAACATACCGGTACCACTTTTAGGGATAATCTTATTCGATGGATACATTAGACTTTAGATATTAATGTAATAAGTAGATTGTATTAGTAATACAGAGTAGTAGATTCTGAATTAAAACTACTGATTATTTTAGCTTAAAGCAATAAACAATCGTTATTAATTTCTTCGTGACTTTAGGTTGTCCAGCGGTTATTTCGTCATCGTGCGTTTTGACAAACAATAATACCTATATATTTAAATTTGAAGAGTATGAGTAAGTTTTCTTTACATGATCAGAAATTAATAATACATGGCGATTTTATTCCAAGATTTTAAAATATTTTGGAATCTACCTATCGTTATTGCTATATCTTATTACGTCCATAATTAACTTTTAAGAAATCTGTATACGTACTCTCGCAAATAAAACACTGTGTTATTTTCATCGAGATGAATTGAAAAGAAAATATTGAATCCTCTCTTCTATCTGATGAGTAGACACCCTGTTTAATTCACGGATTTAATCAATGACATTAGTTATTATGAAAACCATATTAACAATATTTAAGCCTTGCAATTATGCCCATTATCTTTTCAGTAAGGCAATCCTATTCTCTTACATCTGAATACATAGAAAGCCGCAAAGTTAGTTGCAGTTTCACTATCTATCGCATAATCTCTTTTCAACTGTATACAGTAATACCGATTGGCATATGGCTTCGTATACAGAAATTATCAGGGTCATCATAAATAATTGCCCAATGCATATTACATATATCATAAGGACGATCTTAACCACTAAGTTTCCTAGATAGAAATCAAGGCCATTCAAAATGTTATAAAAATTAGCTAAATCACAAGTACATTAATCCAAATTGTTCTTAAGTAATCGTTCACTGTTAATTCACTGTCTTTTACTATATCGATAGGTATGCATTATGTTGGTTCGACACTACTAATAGTTGGTTACTCTACGGTCCTGTCGTAGCTATAACAGGCGTAAGTTGCTAGTACAGCTATAAAATGCTATAGTTGATGATTTATTATTCAATAGATAAATGGTTAGTAGATAATGTCAAGCTAGATGTAACATCTAGCAATTATCAGTTGTGCTCTCTGGCGATGCCTATATACTGTAGTATCATGGAAATATAATCTAAAAATTATTTGCAATCATTCAATAGATAAATAGATAGTAGATAGCGTCAAGCTAGATACAATATCTAATAATTATCCATGGAGCTCTAGAGATGTCTATATAGTCTCATGAAAATATAATCTACTTATTTATTTGCGATAATTCAATAGATAAATAGAAAGTAGGTCACGCTAAGCTAGACTCACTTTCTAGTAATTATCCATAAAGATACCTGTATAGTCTTAGAAATACAATCTACATATTTATTTACTACTATCATATTTTTTCATATTGATTACATGGAATTACAAAACACATCACTAAAATTGAATATTGTGGCAGATATTATTCTTCATATAGAGGCGTAAATCGATATGTTATTAACTACAGGTATTCCAAGCTACGTCCAGTTCTTATTTAATACTCCTTCTTTTCAGATAAATTTTGTTATCGCTATAGTCGTGTTGATCATATTGGAGAAAAATCGAAATCCAAGACTTCTAACCAAAGCTAAGGACGATAGCGGTGACATTCGGTATATTTTTTTCCAATAAAATATTGCCTTTACAGAACTTAATTTAAGAAGATAGTAATGTTTGAAGAACTGATTTCACAGATAATATACGGAACGAATAGCAGGATTTTATAGTATCCTAGGTGCTCACATTAAATAATAGTATACACCACTAACTGTTTTTACCGTACAAAGTAAAAATTTGCTATAAATTGAAGCATTTGGAGAACGTAAACTAAGCAATAATGTCCTTGTTGATCTATATACAAGCTGTAATTCTATATCCTTTTACTCTCACAACCTACGATTAGAATTTATGGCATAACATGAAGCCATAGTATTCTTTGCGCCTATCATGTTATAATATAGACCCGATAGTTACCCTTTCTTTTCGAACTAATTACGATTCATCTAGATATTTCTCGTCTCTTTTAAATTAGCAAATAAAGGCATGAACTTGGTACCTAATTAAAAATACGTCTGGACCACTCTTAATAGTCTTTCTTATGGAGCATATTTATAATCATTATAAAAATATGTTTTCTACTGTCTATTATTAGCCATCCTTCCTATTTTTATGGAAAATTGGCGACAGCCTTTGCTCATTATTTGAAATAGTTCGAGTAGTACGATATAGAAAAATAGTTCTTAGAGATAAATTGTAGTAGAAATTCCTTTACCGAACTTCAAATATGTGGCATACTTAATTTATTCCTAAATTACAGCAGTACTTTATGGTAAAAATCCGTAAAATAAGTTCATCTGCAACAATAATAATCACAAATTAGGATTAAACTGATGATTTTCATCAATTTTGAAATAAAGGATAATAAAACTTTTTACAGATTAAGCTCGAACGCAAAGTTAAATCATATATATTTTTGATACTTAAAATTTTACCATAAATTTTTAGACAACGGATTCGTTCATTCCTTGTCCTTTGCCCCTTACTGGGTATACCTTGGTTAATAACCGTCATTTCATGGTTCGTTCAGTGCCAGAATGCTACCCTTTATATCATACTCTTGCTTTTATCAATAACCATCAATTCGCTGCAGGTAAAATAATCATTTTCATGTAATCTATACAGTAATAAGACCGTAATTAGCTTTTGTAAGCATACTGTCGCTAAGTCCACTTATAATGATAGTTCAATGATCCTATCGACTTTATTAATTCGAAATACAAAATTTTAAATTCTTAGGGTGTATTCTTCTTCCTAGCTCATTGCATTCTAAACCGTAAAGTAAGTTAATGTCAAACTTCGACAAGAAACTAAAAGCAATTTGAAGTCGTTCACTTCATGATAAAACTCTATCTTCAATCTATACCCTTATATAGGTCCGCGACGCCATAAGGAAACGATTCTTTCGCTATAAAAGTAAGCGCTCAACCTCGACTTCACGTACTTTACCAACGTCTCCAGAAACTTTAAGGCGTCATCTTAGCCGTATTAAGGTAAATAGCAGCCTGATCATTATCCCAAATGAAGGTTTTAATAAAACTCCCCTAAACGTTACGGTCTATTCGAATATTAAATAATAGTAATTAGCCGGTGTTTTTGACTTTGTACTATTACCCTAAACTATCACAGTTATGATTATGATCGATAAATAAACATCGTGATGACACGAAATAATTATTTCTCATATGTTTCATAACAGAGAGAAACATTGATTAAATACGAAACTAAATTTGAAAGTATTGATGGATTGACACGAACTCCCAGTACTGGCAGCAATTTTATAGCAAGGACTCACAGCTCTGGCAATTCTCAAAATTCTAATCATGCAAAGCCATTAGACGAAAAGAAATCACCTACTTCAATTACGATTATTACTACTGCAATTTAGTCTAGTAAAGTAGAAATTATCCGCAAGTGTTGTAGCATTTTTCGTCTTATTATCTTAAGAGTTAGATGATTTCCTGGAATTATCAAAGCATCTTCCATTTCCTTCATAAAGTTTAATTGATAGATGAAGTATTCAACTGGAATGAACGTCATATCCCGTAACGTTTAGCATTATCAAGCCTAATCAAGATAGTGAATCTTGGTTTTTGGATTGTAAATCCGATTGGAGGTTAAATAAATAAAATCTTAAATCTTTTGATCCTAGTCACCAATTACCATACATCTTCCAAGTTTTCTTCATTATCAAAATTTTATCATACCAAAATTTCTACTAAATTTAGCTCTTCTCTGCTTGAATAAAACTATTAAAAAATCACTTAACCTTTATAACATAGTAAGACATTCGATTTTACATCCCTCCTCGAAGTTTATTCATTATCTAATGTCGTATAATTAGCACAAGGTTGTCTATTCTGAAAAGTAAGCTTAATATTAATTTTTTCATTTGCTATTAAAAACTAACGTTGAAAGTGACACAGCAGCTGCTGTCAATGCTGATGAACGCAGTGTCATCTTTAGTGCAATTTAACTACAGCTCTCAACATATAACCTTCTACTATTGTCATGCTAAAATTAATATCAAATACTAATTCTTGATGATTTATCTACAAAGTACAATACGCGTATGTTATCCTACTAGATGACATCTTATAACTAAAAGTAATGGCAGAAATTTAGATAAACAAAGTCTTTATCCATGGTATCAATAACTTTATGATGTTCACATTTTTGAGTAGTTACTATTGCACTTTCAGTACTTTTGTTAATATTTTACTTGTGAGCTAATGGACGTGGTATTCTTAATCCACTGATGTTAGTGTCTGCCCATAGAATGAATATGGGCACTACGCGTAATACCATTCAAAACTGTAAGTAGATAGTAATTAAGCGCTAACTAAAACTATTGTAAACTGATACCCTTAGTTGTCACCAAATGTTATTGTAACCAGGTTGACCCTGTGTCTCCTTTAGCTTATATTGTGCATTTTTCTGTTTAAATTATAATACTGCAATATTTGTAACATTTACCATATTAATAATTAATTAATCGCTCCATCAGAGCGGTACGTTATTGTGTTTGCAACAATGATTATGAAGAAAACAGCTAGTATGCTTACTATAAAATGATATTGGATATTATTCAATATAAGAGTGAGAAATTATAATCTAGAATTAAGCTAACATGAGCCAATTCTGGAGTATTTGATAATAATCTTGCAATTACTATATGAACAGTTCTCCACACCAATATTTATTACTACTGTAATGTTCTTAAAATGATTTGCCTGTAATTTGTTGGTATTTGTAAACATCCTTTCTACCCAATAAAGTAATCCAAATCTAGGTATCTCTATTTTCTTGCATCCATTTAATGATCAAATTTAGTTAGTGGACTATTCCATATCGTAGTAGTTGGATCACTAACTCAGCGCAATATTAAACATGGTTATCGATACTTGTCAATATCAATCTACTACAGAAATTTTCGAGTTTATATTCAAAGTGACCTTAATCTACAGTGTACATTATTAAACAGTAGTTACATACGAATATTTTACAAAAGACATTGATTTTGCATTTCCATAATAACTTTTAGCCATTATACTGCAATTGTCCGTATACTAAACATGATTAATGCTAATTAGAAAAGGAATTTAAATCACATCCATTTGATTAGTAATGTCAATTCTTTCATTCATGGGAAACCGAAATTTATTAAATGTGCTCAACCAAGGGACACTTTGTAGAAGGTACTAATCGAGTATTGAAGACGTTAGAACTATCATGATGTAGTAATAACCCTTCGTTCTTGGTATAACACCTATTCACTTGCAAGGTTCTACGAGGTATACTCTATTTGAGATCTGTTGACTGATTGAGACACAAGGATACGGTCAACATTTGCATAAGCTTCGTCCATCTATGAACATAAAATATGGAAATTGAAGAAGACATATCTCTCTCGTATCGACCATGATATCAATTAATAAACAGGGTGGTACAGATCTGTTGTCAACCGATGATTACTAACAATTTATCATCGCATATTGTTAAAGTAGAATGATGACCTTATAAAAAAATGTCGATTAATACATCCTGTTGATGGAGTCATTACAATATATAAAACACTAATAACATCATACTGACTGAAAGTCTATATAGCCTATTCCATCAATCTCCATTAATGAATGAATGATGAGATAAATATCTAAAATGTTGATCGCTATGAACGTTAGCAATCAAGAAGCAATGGATTGATTTAGTGTTACTATGAGACGATAAAAATGATACTATTGATGTTTGTGATCTTGTTTTGACCGAGAATGCTGTATATACGGCAGAGCAAACTTGTAAGTTAGATGACTATCATAGCCAAGATAGAGTAATCGAAGACGATTTGTGTGTAGAATATAAAGATAGGTACCAATACCTGATCCAAGATGCCACCATGCATGTAATTGAAAAATCTCACTGATTGGATAGGGTAATCGAGCTCGGATAGCCCTCAAGACAGGGCAAAAATGAAAATCAATTAACCATAGAGCAAAGCCAGACAAAAAGAGGAATATAGCCGCTCGAAATAAGCTATCGTCCGCATTGAGATGATGCATTCTAGAATTGATGAGGGCCGTTTGAACAATAATTAAAAAGACCAAAAATCCATAACAGACAAAGAAAAAGTTTGGATTTTTCCCAGTTAAATAAATGTATGTCGTCCAAGCTGAATAGGTGGTTAAAAATAGCGAGGATAGAATGTTATGCTTTTTAGGTTGTGATGGCACTTGAAATAGGGCATATAACATGATTGCAGAGCCATAAATCATGGGTAATTCATCTAATAATTGCAATTGATACAAGAGTGTACCATGGAAACACCAAGAACCAATGCCAACAACGATTAAAGCGACATATTGCAAACGAAAGTGTACTTCTAACGGTGACGACCAATCCATAGCGTAACCCATCATGGGTAAAACGATGGTAAAGATATTGCTAATGGTATTCCAAAATTCAGCCATATATTTGCAGACGATATAATTTTCTTCACACCAATCTAAGGTGGATGTTGGAGCTCCCCAAATACCCACACCTTCATTCAATCCATTCTCTAAAATAACGCCCATACTGTCAGTTGAATAAGTTCTTCTCTCTCTCTCTCTTTCTCTCAGTACAAGTGTGCTGTGCAACGATCGTCCTAAGGCAGGATAAGAATACTTGAAGATTGATCAGGAAATGTTGTTGGTAGCAAGTTTTAAATTAGCAGTTTGGAATTAGCAATCGCAATTTGATCAGGTACAACTTGCTACACAATCAATGCACAGACGCATGGTCTAAAGCGTGTTGACCACGCCCCTCTGCAGTATATTGTACTGTACTGAAAATAAGGGTGAAGTTATGATTGTTATATGGTACGGCAATTTTGCATACACCGCATATTAAGTAGTTTACTTGTAGGTCAGTTTAAGTCCCATTTTTTTCAATTTTACTCAGTACTGTACTGTAGGTACGTACGGTACGGTGCAGTACAGACTCATGGCCAATGAAAGTGCAACAAAAGTTTTTTGACGGCCATTTTTGCAGCCAAATCAACTTCATTTTGGAATATGTAGAATTCAATTTCAGTTGCTTCATCATGGTCAAAAATTCCTTTCAAATATATTGAGAAATAGGAAAAAAATTAAAATTTCTATATTTCAATATTCTATTACTAATTCACCTATCATAATTGTAAATGAAAAATTTTAAAATAAAACATTACAGGAATTAGATCGAAAAAAATGATGGCGTCCGTCGACAAAAAGATCATGAGTCAATATATGGTACTGTACTGTACTATAGCGTGCACTTTGGACAAGAAATGACTCTGACCTCTGACATTGTTGACTTTACTAACTTGCCTTGGACGCGTGTAAAAAAAGGAAAGCAATGGACGCAGGCTAGATCGACAGTGGCCTGATGACGAAATACACTTGCATGAAACTAATCCATCAGTATAAAATGAAGATACGGAGACATTAACATGAGCTCCATCAAGATTGTCAACGGCAAGAAGATTGCCATCGCCTTTCTACAAGCGACGGACAATCACTCACTTGGAGGCTTTTAAAACGGGCGCAGAGGCCACTGTTGTAATGGCTACTGTCACACGTGTATATATATGGACTTCCATTTGTACTTCTGACGTCCTTGCACTAGGGACTTTCTACGTCGTCAAGTTCTGTCATCAAACGCCATTTTCGAACTCCAAATCTGATCCGAATATCCGAATCCGATTTAAACGGACTCGGATTGAATAATTGCGATATTCGGATATTTTGACACCAATTATATATACCAGCACAAACTCACGTCGCTTTGCTAACGGTTTACGATAATGTACCCGTTTATTAATAATTAACAGATAGTATTGCCATTCGACATTATATATATATCCCAGTAATAGCCAGGCACTACTATATCCACAGCCATGCTTGTAGAATACTACTTTTCAATAATGCATTGACGGATGAAATGCTATGAAATGCTATATTAAGATTAGTTGATGGTCCAAAGCACATTATGGTAACTAATATACGGTGATGGACATACAGTACCAAGTGAAGATTAGCAGGTACTGTAGATGGCTTCCGATGTGATGATAAAGTGAAAGGATTTTTTCACCTATCAGAACTTTAAAAATTATAACGAACTTCATGGTTAAATGGTTAAAAGAGTGTAGTGTATGCGCCTATTATGGACGTTTGATTATTGATATCGATTCAATAAATGCACATAATTTTATGAATAAAATTTCTGATCGATCTCTTGTTCCGACTTTGTGCACTTAATATACAACCAAATGAGTATCATTTTCGGTGTTAAACTATCGATACTATGCAGTAGAGGCATGTTTCTTATTCTATCAATCAAAAATTAGGTTATAATTTATCCTCTAATTCAGAAAGTTACAATCTTAATTTCAGAATATAAATGATAACCATTTACTCTTATTGCTATATCAGAAAAATTAAGTAACTTCCTGATAGGAATTAGATCGTAGTTCATGAAATCGTATCAGAGAATTCTATTCACTAAACCATACTTGTACGTAATTGCAGTGATAATTTATCATCATCAATTTCAGTTATACATTGAATCAATTAATGATTACTGGCTATTGCTGGTTATGATAATTCTCAATTTTTATAGTTTGGTGGTCTAGATGATGACATCAACGAACAAGAATAATTACGTCTAATATGTTATATCAGCCATAATCTCTATATTCAGGCATATCGATTATTATAACTACTGATATATGTGCTACATAAGCGGCTGATTAGAATTAATACCTATTTATTTTGCATATTTTAGCAAAGTAATTTTTTCCTCCTGTGCAAAATGATATAAAATGTGGTCAATTTGCTCCTGGTTAACAGTCACTATATCTAGTTGTCAATGAAAGTTTTAATAGCTAATCATCGATAGGATTGCTTCTAAAAGGCAAACTACCCTCTTCCTTGTTCAATTTTAAACCATCAATATGTATTAAATGGAGCTATTACAGGATTAAAATGGTTAATCATACTTACCTCATGAATCTAAGGTTATTGTGGGAGGAGTTAATGAAATGAGCTGGTCATTTTTTCGATAATGAATCATCAATGCAGGACATGGCTTCCGTATTTTGTTTTAGATCAGGTTATTGTACTATTAAACAATACAAGACAAGTATAATTTATTTCTCGGTCAATGAAGAAGCTAAAAATAAATTTAAAGTAACTTACGATAGTTTGAATTGACAGCGGTGGCACCGTACCTTCCAGTGACAGCTTCGAAGACAATGACTAACTGGGAATTAAGATTCCAATAAATTCTGTAAACAAGTTGATACGGAACGAGTTTACATAGACCAGATTGGATCATAAAACCGCGAATAGACGAATGTCTCTTAGTGGCAAAATAATATTTAGTTCTATAGATAACGAAGTAGTCTGATCATAGTTATAGGTTCTACGTTGCTGCAGTAAAACCACCAAAAATTAGCTCTGAAGCAAATTTAAGGTAATTGGTCTTCGACTCCTATTACTTTCGAGGCCTTTTACCGCATTTATTCCGCAATATACCGTACTAGCACGATAAATGAGAACTACTAGATACAGCCGATAATCATTCGGTATTTTATGCGGAAGAAGTTTCGTACCCCATTTATACTCTTATTCACTTATATACTTACTGGAGGGTTCTTTCGCGATATAATCTTATGTGATAGATTCTAAGATCACAAAGTAATAATTTCTACAAAATTTTCAGTACTAGTATTGCGGTATATTTAAATTTACCATGATAATCCAAGGCAATATTTATTATAACTTCGAGAGTAAATATCGAACAATATACTGTACAGTATTGATGAAATTATTTCTTAGCATCTTTATATTGATATATCAAAATTAGCAAATTGCCACCAGTGAAAGTACATAAAATATGCAAGCACAAAAGTGACGTGACTATTTCATAGAAAGGGAGGCATCAGATAAGAACTAAAATAGCGCAATATACGGAACACTGAACAAACGTTTGATTATTACTTCATAATATACACAGGCAATCTATATCGAAATTTATTTTTAGTAATGTACAGTATAGATATTAAAGTAGCGTTTCAATCTAATGTAACAGTTACTTCCTTATATGCATACGAATATCTCCATATAAAATCCCGAATCCCTAAAGCGTAAAATGTTTTTTTTGGAAACTAACGCAATTCATGAACAATATGTTGTTCAAATTTCCAGTAACTCATGTTTTTAAAGCCATATTATAATAGAAGGCAGCACTTAATTATCATTCGCGTCTATTATATGCCAGCTTAATAATAGCATTGCATTAAATCTAATTATTATAAGAATTTTGTGATATAACCGCTGCTTATTGTTCCATGACAATAATCTTGTCCGTAACGATAGCCTGAGGTAATTAATAATGACCCCCATGCTAGCCAGGACAATCCTAGATGTGTTATGGCAATAGTTTAAATTATATATATTTATGTATTGAATATGTTAGTTTACTTTAAAGTTAACAAGATGTATCTATAGTCAAATTTAATATTTAGTTTGATTGTAAAACCATTTATTGTACGGAATTAAAGCTCTAGGCATCCTATATAATTTAGAATCGTTTCGAAGTAAAGTACGAGTAGCACAGTATTATTGCATCGGTTAGCATAGTTAAAATTAGTTTTAAGCACAAAGTAATCAATCTACTATTAGAATTTGTAATACAGTATGCTGTAACGTAATATCACGACGTAATGATTAGATTTCATGATTTAGCTAGAATTAGATTATCAATCTGAAGAAGCCTAGCTAACTGGATTTACGATTTAAAATACGGATTGTTCCATTTATTTTATCCTTCAAGATTCATATTTATTCCAAAGCATGTAGTCATTTTCTTTTTGCGATTCCAATATGATCTTTGCCCACATATTATGCCGCATTAGTACGCAGATTGATATGCATATAATATTGAGCTATTTTACCATGCTGTAAAGTTATGTATCAAGACTACATTAGCCTAGATTTCAAGCGGAAATAATAAACTGTAAATTTTACATAAATTTTTTTGTAGATTAATCCTTTTAATTTACCATAACACAAGACCATTTATACATGCTAATGAATCTAAGGAGTAAAAGTAATAATATAACTAATAACTTATTCGGTTGCGTAAATCTCACAAGATATACATGCAATAAAGCAAATCAATAATAAAGAAATAACAAGCATACGCAGCACCCGCATAATTCAGGCAGCAATCCTCGACTGATTATAATAATCACGCTTTACGATATGGATATTAATTAATTTTATTACTGACATATCGCCATCGGCTTAAATATCTTCCATGAATATCTCAATCAAGCCATTTCACGTTGCGTAACAGATACTAGAAGGCCACTTTCTTAACTTCCATCTCTTCCTCACTAGAAGTAGTTTCTTTCTTACTTTGTTTATAATATCGCCAACTAATGAAGAAGCAAATAGCGCCTAAAAACTTTACAACTGCAGTGGTACCCACAACGTAGTAAGAGATAGACTTGCTATCATATACCCAACAAGTCGACGTCCCATTACAATTCTTTGCCCATAAAATACACGAACGATCGATAAATGCGCCAATAACAATTGGACCAGGTATACTAGCTACTAATCGTAAAAATACCCAATTAAAGCCCATTGCATATGCCCGTTGACTTTCTGGTACACTCCTACATTATGTGTTTGAAAATAAATCAAACATGAGCTAAGAATGATTAAAAAAGGAGATTACAGTAACAGGATGATTCTGTGTGCTATACACAGCAACAGAAGCAAATTTTCAAGAATATATTAAAAGTTACCGATACTCACTCATATATCGTAATACTAATTATCCTGTGGATATAATTCTTAAATATAAGTTTTATGATAGATGTACATTTGACTTACCTTTAACAAAAGAACTACGTAAAATTTAGTAAATTTAATGTAAAAGAGAAAAGAGCACTGTATTACAATAGTTTATATCTCGAACTTTTTGCTTTTATTCATACAATTATATTATTTTCAAAAGCTATACACGTATACACCGACATTTCATACCTAATAATAAACATCTACTACAAACACGTTACCTTAGCATAGCTTCTGTTGAAGGAACTATTTTACCAGCAGCAGCTATGAATACTATGCCCAAACCAATGCAGAATGGTATTAAGTATGGACATGGTTTAGTACATGCACCACTTCTAGCGTCGAATGGTACCGCTGTTCTATTGGCATTAGTAATGCAGCTACAATTCGCGTAGCTCTAAAATTCATAAAACATTTTTTAATTATATATATCATAGAAATTTCTATACTATTTTCTTTAATCAATAACTGATAATTATAATACTACTATCTATGCCACCCTTTGTCAATATTAATCAGAGCATAAAACATTCCATTTTACATAACGAACTAATTCATGGGTATTTCCCGTAATCATTTGCATTAAAAATTATATATTAAATCGCTATCTATCTAATAGCAGCACTTACGGTGACAAAGTATGTGGGATTGTAGACACTGTTACTGCAACCAGCATGACAGGGTGAATAATAGGTTATTCCATCTATTCCGCAAATGGGATTGAATTTCACGCCATTACACATACAGTTATTATTACATGTAGCAGCCAGTATGGGTTTACCGAACCTAATAATGCATATGTTAAAATACATGAAAAAATCCTCTACGAATATATCCGTAAAAGAAGCAAAATTGAATACCGTAAAAGTAACAAACTGTAGACCGTTACAAGTCAACGAAATCACAAATGCAATTCCAATACTTTACATTAGCAAGCACTAAGAGCGGCAATATTTCTCTGACCATGAAACTGACTAAAATATTCCAGAATCTGATTTTTGCACTTGTCTATAGATTGTATCGTGAATGTTGGCTCGCATGTGACTATTTTGAGCATATTTACTGAGCAATTGTTTATGAAATTCAGCTTGTTTACCTGTCTTTTAAGATTTTATGCTTATATAATATAATAATTATAAATTTTGGGTATGAGGTATGAATTGTCCTCGTAATAATTCATTATATAATAATAAATTCTTACTCTGGTACGGATGCCGTCGGTGCTAAAGGATAAGCACTATTAACACCAGCAAATGGAAGATTTACGCAGCTAAACAATAACGAAAATGCTGCAAGGACATCCACTACGCTCAAAATCATGGTTAAGAAGGTCGCTTTAGATCCATTCATATTGAATACTCTCATAATAACACCACCCTAAAATTTAAAATTCATATATAAAAGCAAATAGATTACATTTATGTCTCGGTATGTATTATGACGAGGACTCAATTTTTCCGTATAATATTCATTGTCTAATTTTTTTAATATACTCGTATATTCGTAAATTTAACGTACTAGCCGATCTTTCAAATGATTATAGCTAATTTCTACACCCTGCTTAAATTTCTTCCCTAAATTTTCTCTATATTGCTACATTTAATTTCTCTTACAAGCAACATTCCTGTTGCTCCACCACCTAACCCAACATAGCCTATAATCGGACTAGCTTGATACGCTGGCAAACGAAATTGTGTCTCAAGAATTTTAACGAAAAATAATCCAATTCCGGAAACTGCGAAATATTCAAATATCAATCCAGCCATCAATAACATAAACGGTACATTAGTAATTAAATCTTTCGTTGCTCTGGGGATCTCCTTAATACTATTGCCATATTCCTTATCAACTTTAGCTGTTTCAGCTGCTTCTTCTAGACGCAACTTTTTATATTTCTTATATCCAGGTAAAAATCGTGGAAATCCAAATAGCGGGATCGAAATAAGAATAAGGCCACCGCCAGCAATTAGAAAGCATATCCACCAGGCCCCAATCCATCGTGCATCGAATAGAGTAATACCTTATATGTTTATACCAAAATTGAACAGCATAACTTTACTAAACTTTATGGTAAATACTGTATAGTTCAGAATTTCTATGGCGCATTACATATGTTGGCAAAGTATAGTAAACAGTAACCTACAACATTAATTGTAAATTTTTAAGGAAAACTACTTCTGCCGTCTTAATCTAGCTTATCTATTAAAAATATTCTACGTAGTATCGTATTTAGCTAAGTAAAAAATTAGATACTGCCAATGGATAAAATTAAATTTACCTGTTGGTGGTGATTTTGGTGCGTCGACATACATTGTTAAAATATTTCCTCCAGCGATAAAACCGATTGATGGACCAAGCGCCGATACAGTCATCATCGCGGCGATATACATGGCAGATGATTTTGGGTGGACATTTTCGCTGACATAGGCGCATCCAATGTTCCACAATAAGTTATTACCGGCTCCCATAATTAATTGACCCAGTATAAATACGAAAAAGAAATTTCGAACGTAGGTATTACTACCTACTGATTCTGCTGCGCATACTTCAGCTGCAAAAGATGCCGATTTAGCTACACATAAGTCAGTATAATTTGAAGCTGTACTGATAGGTTGATAATCGCCAGCAAAGAAATGAGGTAAGGAATAGACGATAGCGCCGATTCCGGCAGCTAATGCACCAGCACTTAAAAATCGACCCTTATGTCTTTGACCAGCATAATAACTTGCAATGAAACCAGTTACAGCGGCGGAAATTTCTTCACCTGCTGGTAAGCCGCCGATTTCAGTACTTCTTAGATGAAATCGCTTTTCGATAGAACTAACAGTAACACCTACAAATCCTGATATCATCATTCCGGAAACAAATACTTGCAAACAGACGATAAAAATTAGGCACCACTGATGATTCAAGAATTGTAAGCATTTAGGACGGAATGGGCCATAGCCAAAGTAAGATTCTTCTGGCTCGTCATCATCATCAGTTAATTGCATATTTTTAGCGGATTTCTCCTTAGTCGTTAGTTGATTCTCATCACCCATTTTTGAAAGTTTACGGTATCAGAATGAAAGCTTTTAAATCGATACCGTATTCTAAAAATAGTAAATTATGAAATTTTTTCAATCGGTAAAGCAATTACTGCAATTACTTTTCTTATAAGTATAAGTAACGGTAATAAATTGCTGGAATCATTCATTAAATTACGACTGTCTTAGACATACGGTGGGATTATCGATACGACGGGTTAGATCCAAATAATTTTACTACCTGGGTATGGATTTACAACTCTTAGATCCTTGCTACTGATCCCAAATTATTGACCACACACAACATGTAGATATTTCTACAAGAATGCATGACATGGCTACATGAAATTGGTTTCTGTTGTGCAATTATAGTATAGACATTATAAATTCAGAAAGATACATTTGGCACTTCTAATAACGATTGATACTTTAAATCTGAGTGTTCATAATCTTACTCAATTACAATTTTTATAGAATTTTAAAGCCGCTATGGCAATCGCCGCTTACAGAAAGAGAATGCCTTTAAAATTGCTCTTGGCTATAAAATAAAATGATTACTAGTTTTGCAATTATAGGCTTAGATCAATCATCCTCACAGACTAAAATGACAGGTATGGCACTAATATATCCGAGCGTGTACTAATTTTTCGCCTAAACTTCCAAACAAACTCTATATCACACAGCGATATTAAACCAATAAACAATGATGAAAAATTTTCAATTCTTTGTAAGTTTACTAAACTAAGGCGTAACCAGCAGAGATAGATCTCAGTTGGCTTACAGTAGAAAAAGTAACGTTGCTCCATGCATCTATTTCAGTCATATATCAATAATAAATTGAACAGTGATCGTAAAATGTAAAAATGACATTAGATGCACCATCACAACGGCTTCTAGAACAAGAAAACCATTAAAAACAGACCCGGTAATACTTGGCTATGATTAAAACTAAATGCCTGGCACGGATAGGTAAATCAACAGGTAGCTCAATGTTATTCTTGAGTTATAAAATTGCGGCGATGATCCCCGTATACTGTCGCAAGATAATCAAATCTTAAACTAGATTAATGCTACTCTATCCGAAATATTACATCCTTTGGCTAATTTTTAAATCCTTCTCTAGTCTATTTAGATATACGAGTTATGTAGTGCAATGAAATTACCTGTATTATTATAAAAAGATCAAAGTTCCAGTGCTGGCTAATTAGACTGGATAGCCAGAAAAAAAATTTCTAGATGTACGATCGCGACGATCTAGCAATCGAATAATGATTTAAGTGTGAATAAAATCAATAGTTTATACGACGACTTTTAAAGGCTTTCCTTCAATAAACTCACGTGATATTATTATCCAAAAGCTTGGAAAACAACTAAACTATTTGATGATCGACAATTGCCGACATATATGAATGGATCACTTACGCTTCCGTTGATCTAATCAATGCTAATTTTAACCTGTGAGTCTAGGCTGTCCATTTATAAACAATCAACTACTTCTATAATATATATTTTAATTATCAGACAAGGAGATACGGTACCCCATTACCCCATGAAAATGTTAATTAATTTAAGGAGGCAGTCGCTCCAGTTATTTCTTTACAGAAACACAGAATAGCGGTACCTTATGGGAGGAGTTTAGAACATGTACAAGACGATTTTTTTAATCTTAATCATATTGTAACATGACTTGCCTGTCAGGACATGAAAATGGTGAATACATTAATTGGCTTATTGCAAAGTCAATCAGCTAAAAAAGGAACCCATTTATAAATGGCTAAATCAAACACATCAAATTGCTAACTAATCAACTCCAGTTCTCTATCCTACAATATTATTAGTTGTATTCATATTATTCATCTAGTAAAAACACTACATTTTTATCGATAATAAAGTGATATTTTTACTTGCTCAACAGGAAATCGGCTCTCTAGAATTACTATACTTTATCCTTTAATTGTAATACAGTTGTAAAATTTAACTTATCATCAGATAGCCCGTATAATGTATATTTTAGACGGGCATTTAGATAAATTAAATGCCCTCCTATTTAACCTAAATCCAATGGAACTTTATTCTTGATGATAAATTTACATTCACATTGAATACTCTTCACTCTAATCTAAATCCAATAGAATTTTATTCTCGATGATAAATGACATTCACACTGAATCTCTTTTATCAAATCGAAATCTAGTAAAAACTTTAGTTTCGATGGTAAATTGATACTCACATGGATATCAATTTAACGCTTTTCAAACTAAATGCTCGACAAATATATCGTCTTGATAAATAACTCTTTATCTTGCTAATTGTAATAAATTGATATGTATATCACAACTAGGCACAACCTTCGATCTTTATATGATTTATTAGATGTGTACCGAGAGGGAATATACTGCAGGTTAAAAAATCTATGGCTTACGTTATCATGCGTAGCAGAAATCCATCTTGGCACCTACATCTCTATTCATATTGTCAGTGTAAATTAATTAATTTTATTTTCTTAATGCTGTCCTCTAAAGTCTAATATATTAACCTGATTTCCAGTTCTTTTAGAATCTATTTATAGCTATCTAAGCACTCTAACAAGCACAAATTGTTACACAGAATCCTATAATTCATCCTTGATAGTGAAGTTATCGCGCAACATATTAACATCTCTAGCGATGATAATAGGGTTCCATTTTAACTCGTATAGAATAAAAATATCTTAGCACTCCCATCGGATTGAATGTCTTATTCAGCATAAGACAGTCCGCTAGGATGCTTATTATTTTTACATTTTTCTCTATATTCTAACATTATGGCCACCTGCAGTTCCACTAGAACTCGCTACAATCAAGAAAACATATACTATACAGACTCGTATTCTTTAAAATATTTATTCTTATAAAATTATTCCTTTAAGACCACTGTTTACATAGGATCACAGTTTTGATAAGTTCTCTGAATCATTTAACATATTAACTATTATCTTTCATATTCTTTTGTAGTATGTCATCATTATCTATAGTTTCAATTAAATATAAATGCATCATTAGCGTAATAAAATGATAAGGCTTTACATGCTCCAAAGATGGCTTATAGCTGCTTCTAAAAGTTAAATGCGCAACGCACCTATTCGACATACCGTTTTGTCTAAGTAATTACTTCCAAAAATTTTTAATTGATCTTTGATTCCGTTTATATATTTTATACACTTTACAGCACAACCGGGTTAGTATAGTACAAGTTATTATATTGTGGAGACTATTTTCTTATTCCATCTATCAAATAAAAGGCCATAACTTATTCTCTAAATTGGGATGTGTTCTATCTTACCTATGTATTATAAATAGCAAAGAGCTGTTTTTGCTGCTGAGAGAATTAGAATATTGTTAATGATTTAAACTTATTCTCTAAATTTGGCTAATTTCAATTTTAATTTAGGTATTATATATGGCAAAGAGTTGCTTTTACTGCTGAGAGAATAAGAATGTTGGGTTAGTTAAAAGTAATAGTTGGAGATGATTATAGTCTATCAAGAGAATCTTATTTTTCAAACTGTACTTTCGTACAGTTTCAGTAATACTTTATCGTTATGAATTGGAGGTCTACATTTAATAGATATTTGCTGATTAGGATTATTCTCAATTTCTGTAATCTGATGGCTTTTATGATGCCACCAACTAAAAAAAAAGCAGATTGTGCCTAAAGTTTTAACGATTGCGATTAAAATTGTAATATAATAAGATATAGTTTTACTATCATAAACCCAACAAGTTGAAGAGGAATCGCAATTTTTAGTCCATAAAATGCACGACTGATCTATAAATATGCCAACAATAATTGGACCTGGCATACTGGCTGCTAATCGAAGAAAAGCCCAATTGAGGCCCATTGCATATGATCTTTGGCTTTCTGGTACGCTCCTTTAAGGCATTATTAAAAGAAAAGCTTTCTTAAAATGTGATACAAGTACTCAGATTATAGCACTTACTACCAGAAATATTTCTAAACGTAAGCTTACTTTATACTATCATAAATCTCTTAAAGGTCAGTTTTTCTTAAATAAGAGTTAACTACTCAAATTATAGCGCTAACAGAGGCATTTCTAGATGTAATTTTACTTTATACTGTCGTAAATATCTTGAAGATAGTTAGTTAGAGATGTTTTTATGAAATAGACTAAAGATATTATCGACGCTCTTAGCAGAGACTTCAATATGGACAATCAATAACGTCTATTTTTGATAAAGGGAATTTAATAAAAAAAACTTTAAGTGATCTGTTAATTTTCATTTATTTCCTCATTAGCCTCAATGGAACGATATATAAAATAGAGATACAGCTATCTCTTCTGATCATTATAAAATCTAATTTTCGATAAGTAAGGCAAATATGTATCAATACCTTAATATTGCTTCCATTGCTGATACAATTTTAGCGGATGACGCCAAGACATAAATAGTTAAACCAACATAAAACGGAGTCAATAAGGAACAAGACGCAGAACATAATCCACCTCTAGCATCAAAAGCTGAAGTTAAATTATTCTCTTTTTTGATGCAGCTGCAGTTCAAATAGGCCTGTATAGTAAGGTATAAATGAAATCAGATAAGGATTTTCTCATCATTAACTAAGAAATAAATTATTTTTATATATCGATGATAATAGTAGCTCTTGCTAAATTATTACATAAGTGTAATATTGCGGTACGTAGATACTGCTTGAACACCCAGCATGGCAAGGAGAGAAATAAGTTGTACCATCAACTCCACAAATCGGGTTGTATTTAACATCATTGCACATACACCCAGAATTACATGTAGCAGCTAGAATTGGTTCTCCCAATCTGTGGATAACAGTTCAAAGTTGGTGTAATCATGAATAGAATTAAACAATTATGGCATAGTTAGAAGTTGCTGTAACATCTTTTTATTAGAGCTATATAGGAAGGATAAATTAAAAATTACTGCAAAGAAGCTATTGTGGAATACTTACTTAGGTGTATCAGTTATAAGATTCGCAGAATAGGGACTATTTACTCCAGCAAATGGAAGATTTGGGCAACCAGCTAAGAAGGTTGCTGCTGCGATAGTATCAACAATACCCAGAAAAAATGCTAATTGTGCAGCTTTAGCACCGTTCATTTTAAATAGCTTCATCACCACACCACCCTAATATTCAATGATCAAATACTAAATCAATAAATAGCGTTTGACTTCTTGGTAATCACAAATAAGATATTTTTAATATAACAAACATCAAAAATATTATCCAAAATATTGCTATAAATCAAAGAATAGGATATTATGGAGATTTAAATATTAGGATTAGACTGATATTATAAATTGGTTGTATCCTATTGTAGTAGTATTACAGTTTACCATTAGCATTCCTCCTGCACCACCACCTAGAGCGATATAGCTCAAGATTGGACCTGCTTGGTACGCTGGCATACGAAATTGGGCTTCAAATATCTTAATTAGGAAATATCCGAGGCCTGATACTGTAACATACTGAGATACGAGACCTCCAACTAGCAGCATGTATGGCTTATTAGTTACTAATTCTTTACTTGCTTTAAGCATATCTTTAATAGTGTAGCCATATTCATAATCGATTTTAGAAGTTTCATTGGCTTTTTCTTGACGCATTTTCTTATATTTTTCATAGTTTGGTAAATGGCGAGGAAATCCATAAAGGGGTATCGATATAATAAGAAGGCCCACACCAGCAATGAGAAAGCAAATCCACCAAGCCCCAATCCATCTTGGATCTAGTATGGTCAATCCTAAATAATGATTTAACAATAGTTCTCGTATGTAGTTAAAGTATAAACACATTTACTTTATTAATACTGTAATACTTTAGTTTACAGTTGCTCAATGCAATCAATAAATTTGCAGCATAACCATCCTAATGTACATATTATTTCATACAAGATACATCATATATTACAGTAACAGTAACATTTTGATCAACACAATCTATTATAATTTCATGGAATATTTTCATATCATTTCATATCGTACGTGTACATAGTCATATAGCTAAATTTACCTTCTGGTGCCGAAGCAGGAGAATCAACATACATTCGTAATACTCTACTTGCAAGCTGTAGACCTACAGATGGCCCAACAGTCGATAAAGTTAGCATAGCTGCAAGATACATCGCAGATGATGTGGGATGAACATTTTCATCAACATAGGCGCATCCAATATTCCACAATAAGTTATTGCCTGCTCCAATTATAATTTGACCCAAAATAAACACGAAAAAGAAATTTCGGACAAAAGTGTTACTTCGGCTGCCTTCTTCCTGACAAATTTCAGCAGCAAAAGAGGACGGCTTAGCCATGCATAAATCAGTATAATTTGTAATAGGACTTGCTGGATGATATTGACCAGCAAAGAAATGAGGTAGAGCATAAATTATAGCACCAATACCTGTTGCAGCGGCGCCTGTCGCTAAGAATTTGCCCTTATGTCGTTGACCAGCGTAATAGCTAGCAAGGAAACCAGTGATAGCAGCAGAGACTTCCTCACATGCTGGAAATGCTCCTATCTCTGTGCTTTTTAAATGAAATCTTTTCTCTACAGAACTGACTGTAACTGTATCAAATCCATTGACTAGCATGCCAGCAATAAAAACTTGCAAGCATACAACAGTAATGAGAGCCCATCGATGATTTAAGCATTGCAGCCATTTTGGATGAAAATGACCAAAACCATAATAGGACTTTACTGAATCTTGCGTTGTTTTAATTTCAGTCATATTCATTAGTTGTGAATTGAATCAATCAAGTTGATGTTATAGATTAATTATACTATCGATGTAGCCAATTTTTATACCTATACAGTATATTAATATTCCAAGATTAGTTCAAGTAGTTTATTCTGTATATTTGATCTTAATTAAACAGTGAAATTCAATTATTTGTCAGCACCATGCTCGCTATATTGGTTTTAATGTAAGTAATGGATTCAAGATTGCGTTCATTAAATTATTTAATGGATCTGTTCTATTAAGGTATTAAAAAATTTTAGATCCCTAATAACGATATCGTACAAATAAGATGATGCCTACGAGCACTCATTATAAACAAAGATACTATACTACTAAAGCTAAATTATTAAATTTATAGTTAAGATTGACTTTAAACCATCGAGATGACATTGTTGGCAAATCTTTTGAAATTTCAAACTATTCTTATAGCTTTACTAACAAGACTTATAGACTTATATAATGTACGTGTAGCTGTATAAATCCGATAAGATCGTAAGGCTAATATCACATAAATTTTGTATCCTAAGATTGGACGTTAACTTTTAGTGTTATTGGTTAGTGCATCATTAAATCAACGGATGTCAGTGTCTGAAATTTCATGATCTGTTCTATTTAAACCCAATATCTCATCCCATCTACCCTCGGTATTTGATTTTGTAGGGCAATATTATTAATCAACGCAAGATTTACCGGATATTATATATAAGACTAACTTAAAAAGAAGACATAAGAAATAATGAAAATGATTGCCATTGTAATCCAATTTTTGTTCTATCAATCAAGCCTATTTCAGTTAATTGTGACCATCTGTCCAAGACAGTTTTATTACTCGTTTTTAATGATTATTGTGCTATGTTTTCTTTACCAAGATGGATTATATAATTATCAGAGTATAGTAGTGTATAAATACTATACCTCCATGCACCGTATAAAACATGGTACACTCAATTTGAATAATCTATTCATAGAGTAGTATGCACTTAAGATCTATTTTCAGAAAGAAAAATTTCATAAAATAGAAACTAGCTGTTTAGGAAATGTTTGTATTAAGAAAGAATGATTTGAAAGCATTGCTTAATTCCAACAGCAGAATCAGAATAGAAACTATATTACAGTATGATTGATCACTACTTACCTACTCAGTTAATCATAAATTAAGTAATGAAGAGCCAAGATAGGTAAGACCAACTCACACTCGCCAGGTTCCATCGATCTTGCTAGCCAATGGAACCTGACCATATTACCCGTCTTATTTTATTTTGAAAACTCAATTTCTCAACAACTTCAGATTGATCCTCTAAATCTAAATCAATAGCATCTGACAATAGCACACTTCTTATTCATTTTAAAAACTCTATTTCGCAACAATTTCAAATCGATATTCCTATCCGAAGGTATCTGACTGTATTACATATCTTATTTATTTTATAAACTCTATTTCACAATGACTTCATATTGATCTTGCTAATTAATGGCGCCTGGCTATATTGCATATATTTTATTTAAAAATTCTATTTCTCAATGATTTCTAATCGATTGATCTGCAAGCAATTGGCACCTAACCATTTTACACGTGTTATTTTTTTAACTATTTTCTCAATGATTTAAATCAATTTTCCTAACGATTGGCACCTATTCCACGTCTTATTTAATTTCAAAACTCTATTTCTCGTTGGTTTCAAATCGATCTTCCTGCAAATAACGCCTGACTCTATTACACGTATTATATATTTATTTATCTTAAAGCTCTATTTCTCAACAACTTTCAATTGATCGTGCTAACAAATGCCACCTGACCATTTTACACTTCTTATTTATTTTACAACGGTATTTCACAATGACTTTAAATCGATCGTCTTGACCAATCGTATCTGACCAGATTACACATCTTATTTAATTTAAAGCTCAATTTCTCGATGACTTTAAATCGATCTTACTACAAATAGCGTCCGACTAGATTACACTTCTTATTTATCTTAAAAACTCTATTTTTCAATGGTTCTAAATCGATCTTGCTAACAATTGCGCCTGATCACATTATCTGCATTATTTATTTTAAAAATTCTGTTTCTAAACGACTTTAAAACGATCTAAACATCAGTAGCTATTAGCATTGTTGACTAAAAGTAGATACTGTAATGATGCCAACTACTTAGTCCATCAAAATACTTTCATAATGTTCTATCCTAAACTGCCTTAAATTTATTTCACCTCGTTTGTGCCGACTCTTCAACTGGGTAATGAATATCGATTTAAAGCTAACATAAATCACCATTCGAAGCTAAATTTTTGTAATTGATGGCAATTATTTGCTATTAACTCAATAGCCATCGTGTAATTGACTGACGAAAAAAGAAATTATTTCAAGACAAATTGGACCAAATCATTTCCTCTTACCTTATCCCACGAATGATCAGTTAATCTTCTTTCGATCGTTGATTCAACTTGGATGCCACCACTAACAAGATCCAAATGCAACTAAGTTAGCGACTAGTCAATTAATTGTAGTTAAACTGCTACTGATAAGGTTAGATGATATCTATCATGAAAACAATAAGAAATCAAGCGTTTATTCTTTGTTGAATTGTTCTTTCTTTGTTGGCTAGTAATTCATCAATCACATGATGATTGATCTTATTTTTCATTGGTTATTACTACAACAAAAGACAATCTTATCAATATTGATTCACAACAGGGTAAGAACATCATAGTGCAAAAAGAATATTTAAATGCCTTATAGGCAAAATAAGCAATTTCCCTTTATATCATGGCATGCTAATCAAGACCAACATCCAACAAGAAGTTTTGAAATGCATACAGTATCGCTTGATATCAAATTACCAAGAAGGAATTGAAGGATTGTCTATGATGTCCTTGGCAATGCTCTCAACAAGCATATTTTATCATAATTTGGTAAACTGCGTAGCACTAGAATATTGACCTGGAACATTAAGCAAATTAGCGACTTTTTTACTTGATATTGAAAAGCTGTCATAATAGCTAGATGTAAAGCTTGAGTCTATGAAGAATTTAAGTTTCTATACAAATAGTATCCCTAGCTGTATCCTGAATAGATATGCTATTATGGTCATTTTGTTGATCGTAGAAGACAAGAATATTGAACATATGAAAGTGAATTAAGCGATTATCTATTGTGCTGCCATAACAAAATTATAACTAAGATCAGTGTATAGCTCGAGTCTATGAAGAATTTAATTTTCTTTATGAATGGTATCCAAAGCCATAAGTGTAATAGGTATGCTATTAAGATCGTTATGTAGATCTAAATGCGACAAAAATAGCGAATTAAGCGATTTTCTTTATTTATTTGTACCACTACTATACAACAAAAACTAAGGCTGTTATAAAAGTTTTAAGAACACTGCAGAGCATAAGTGAGAATACAACATAGAGGACATCAATTTCTTAGCAAATAGTATCCCTGGTCATATTTATATAAACAAGGTGCACTTTTATGATAGCTTGAAAGATTGTATAGCACAAGCGAGAATACTATATGGAGGACATCAATTTCTTGGCAAATAGGTATATTTTTATTATAGCGACAATGATCATAGACAACAATATTACCCTCTAAGCCTATTAGGAGATTTCTGCCTTTACGATGTGCTATCATAACATGAATTATGACCAATAGAACACTTAAAAAGATAGAAGACATGAATATCTTCAAGATACGAGTGTGCATTGTATATCATCCTAAATAATTTCTGCTCACGTTCTCAATAGAAATATTTTTATGCTATCTACAAACGTTGTAGAACACAAAAATTTTCTAAAAGCAATGTAAGCGATTCTTCCCTTTGCATTGTATCGCTAGAATACAAACTAGCACTAGCATAAAGCTAGAAAATAAAGAGGATATGACTTTCTACAAAAGGTAAGGGTAAATTATAATTTAATAATTATAGGTCATTATAAATAACATTCCTGTTTACAGTCTAAATAAACCAATTTTTAAAGTAGTTCAGATGACGTTAGAACCCTAGAATAATCTACTATCTGATTAAGCTTCATACTAGTCCAGTTTTTGTTGTATTGACATCATGAAAAAAAAATTGCTGAACTTTCATATCTAGGTAAATGTCATTCTTCTATATAAAATAGTGAATCATATACGATTACAAACAATATTTCTGGTCCCTTTCTTAAAAGTCACGCTATTCTGTTATCATTATAAGAAAGATTCCAGACGTATAAGAAAATATGCTTTACAGGAAAATTGGATGAATTTACGTTATATGCACCTTTGCAATAAAAACGAGCACCAATAAGGAGCTAGGGAATATCATATGTAAAAAGTCCCTTTCTATCAAAATACAGTAATAAGGAGAACTTCATGATTGTATGCAATAACGTTAATCACATTCTCAGGAGATACTGGCATACGTAGGTATCATCACGATCAAGGAAAAATTGCGAAAGAATACTATTTATTTGCCTGTAAATTTAGAGACTTAACTTTATTTCGCACTATTACAAAAATGCCCCCTGGTGAAAATATTGCAATACAATATAATAGTATGCAACGTCGATTTCATTTAGAATGCTAAAGAGAATTATATAATGATAAGTAATATAGTGGCTTCATTCTCATCGGAAAAGTTTTCTTCTTTTACAATGGTAAGGAAGAACCCAAAATAGAAACGCAGTGAAATGGCCTTGGCTCTACGTTCAATTAATGCTATAAAGTAAATTCTTGCAACATGTTCATATTCTTCATTGGTCTCACCTTACCATGTCGTATAATTAAAATACCTAAATACATGCATAACGCTAAAGCTCTTCATATTAGTATCAAGCGATTAAATTTTAAATAATGCTTTTACTCCCTAACCCAATAAATTAATTTCTTTATGATGTATCCGAAGAGCAGTCTAGATCTAAAACAGTTTGCTCTAACAGTTTATATAAACTGCTTC